ACCTCTCAGGCTCTCACGCCTCTCTCTTCGCCTCTTCAACACTTCTCCTCCGCCTGCCTAAAGAACGACGACGGCGCAGCGGTGCTTATGGATGACGCCGCCCACCTCTCTTCTCCAATCTATCGTCCGGCGAACCGTGTTAGATCAGGAACGCTTCTTCGCCTTGGGATCATCGCATCCTCGTCCAAATCTGGAACCGCTTCTTCTGGTCGCCAACAGCTTCGAGAGACGATAAACGCCACTCGAATGCTCGCCTTTCGACCTCAGGTACCCCTTCCGGCTGCTTGTTCTCCTTAAATTCTGACTGTATCTGTGATGTATGTATGATGCCCGTGTATCTGGTAGAGATATCGTGATATAGGGTTTTGTAAGCTCTGTTGCTAACCGAATTACGAGCATGAAGTTTTTGAATTGTTCATTGTTAGAGAAATAGGGTGTTAGTTGAGAGGATCTCTCTTAGCCTTAGTTTTAGGTATTTGAAACCTATGGCTAGGATTAGTTCTTGTCTAATATAAATAGCTCTATACCTCCTTGTACATTGACACACAGAACATATAGAAATATACAGTTGAGTTTATTGTTTAACATGGTATCAGAGCCTTGAGGTGATTGGGTAGTGGGTGTTGGTCAGAAAGAGGAGGCGACGCCGGCAGGAGAGGCGGAGCAGCCACCGGAGTCCTCACGTGCCGGCGCAGTCCTAGGGTTCCGACGCCACACGCCGGTGCGTGGGCAGTTCTCCGGCGTCTTCTCCGGTCGCGGCCGGTACCGTTGGGCTCGTCTCTGAACACCCAACGCGTCTGCAGTGGTGGTGTACTCCGGTGTTGCGAAGGGCTACTGCGTTTTGGACTGCTACGTGTTGGACTGCTACATCTTTTGGACTGCTGCGTTGTGGACTGCTGCATTTTTGGACTGCTGCATTTTCGGGTTGGTCTGTTTTGTTTATTATGGCTGAGGAGAGTGAGCAGAGGATGGAGGGCTACGTCGAGTGGTTCAGTGAGGGGTTTGGGTTCATAACCTCCGACGACAGCAGCGAGGATCTGTTTGTTCACCAGTTTGGTGTCAGCCGAGAAAGAGAGACAGCCAAGAGAGGTGATAGGGGAGGTCCATGAAGCTGGGTGGTCTGAGGTCCACGAAGCTGAGGAATAATTAGGCAGTAGTTTTCTTTTGTTTATCGTATTCGTATTAATAAGTCTTGAGCTTTGTATTTTGTTTATCATAGTTTGTCGCTTTAAGTTAACTTGGTATGGGAGCAATTCTAGGATCTGAGTTGAGTCAAGTGCAGCTTGTTCAGTGTGCGTAAACATGGGTGTTGCAGGAGTGGGCAACACAGGTGCCAGGAGTGGGGCGGACCTGGCATATGCCGCGGGGGAGGCCGACGGCTGAAGAGTGATTCAGAGTGAATCAGTTTACGTACATGCACCAGGGAAACGCTGTAGTGTTAGGCAACGTTGATAAGGGTGCATGGTGAGAGGGACAGGTGCACTGTGGTCTAGCAGCGCTAAGGGTTTGTGGAGTGTGAGGCAGGTACGCTGTGGTGTTAGGCAGCGGTGATAAGGGTGTGGGGAGTGAGATGCAGGTGCGGCGCTGTGGTGATTGGCCTAGCTTTTGTTGGCTCCGTAGAAGCATTGTTGATGCGACAAGGTGCGTTGTGGACTGGTTTGGCACAGCGTGGTTCGAAGGTTGTTTGAGTGGTTCAAGACTTGGGCTTATGAGTCTAGGTGTGGAGTCCTATGGTTCATGTGATACATATGTAACAAGTTGGATGCTCCAACTTGAGGGGGAGTGTTAGAGAAATAGGGTGTTAGTTGAGAGGATCTCTCTTAGCCTTAGTTTTAGGTATTTGAAACCTATGGCTAGGATTAGTTCTTGTCTAATATAAATAGCTCTATACCTCATTGTACATTGACACACAGAACATATAGAAATATACAGTTGAGTTTATTGTTTAACATTCATAAAGTAACTTTTGGTGTTGGACCTCTATTGAGATTATGGAATAGTATGCCAGTGTAATTTGAGCTGGTGATTCCTGTATTTTGTTTCTCATTCAAGATATGAAGCTTAGATTACATGTTTATTTGTGGATTTATAATGTTGATTGTGATATGCATATTTGTAATTGATGAGTTTTCAGAATTTTTTTTATTGTTCTTGATTTTTTTGCAGCCCCGAGAATAAGTGCATCTCTATCAGAAGACAATATGAAGGTAATTGGTATTCTTCTGGGTAGATGAGGGGTGAAGACTGTAACACCCCAGATTTTCAAGACATTTAAAACTTATAATAAAGGTAGAATCTTATTAAATCCCAAGATATAAATACAAGCGTTCGGGGTGCTATGCCACACCTGGGCTAGAGAACCCAAGTGCACAGGCTAACTAACTAATATCCTTAAAGCGTAAGTACGTAAACGTGGCACGCAGGCCAAAAGGGAAACTATCTACTTCTAAGTTCTAGCGCACTCCAGTGACTTAATCTTTTGTGCCTGAAAGCCAAATATATCTGTTCAGCGAGAGATGCTGGTAACCCACTCCAACGCGTTGAGATACAATACATATAGCCATATATATATAGATATACAAAAACCATTGTGGGCATGAAGATATATCGTACGAACTCTAGCTTTTAAAACCGGGAATGACTCGACAGATAAGGTCAGACGCAAGCAATAGTTATAACAGTCATATGCAGTTCATAATAGATAAGGCAGATAAGGCAAGGCATAAACAATGATCACCACCCATCATACACAATCCCCAACATAAATCCCATAGTCACATTTCTCCAAGGCACTCATAATCACAGCTCATCCGTATCACAACACATAGCACACTTTGTTGGCGCCACAGGACCAATCGCATGCCCATACATGAGGGTCAGCGCATATAGCTCTGACACGGCCCTGCAGCACCCTGCCCCGTATCGCAACACGGAGGGGTCGATCGCAACCGACCGATGAACCGCAGCTCATCATAATGTTTGATCGCAACCAAACAGTGGACCGCAGCCCAAGAGAGTGTATTGTCTGACTGTAGCCAGGAATTCCCATCTGACTACAGCCAGCCTCTGAACCGCAGCTCAGGAAAGATGTCATCTGATTGCAGCCAGGAATTCCCATCTGACTACAACCAGCTTCTGGACCGCAGCCCAGGATACCGCTACCCGACTATAGCCAGGAATTCCCATCTGACCATAGCCGGCTTCTGAACCGCAGCTCAGGATAACCAATCCGATCGCAACCGAATTGGGGTAACACGCACACATAACACATAGCAAGCACATGCAACCCACATTACACATTGGGAAGGGGAATAAAACGTATAACAAAACCTATGCGTGATCCATCACTTACTAAGAATAGTCCTAAGGGGTTCATACTTCTTCCACCTAGGTCAACGGGATACCAATTCAACTAGCATGCAATATAATAGACTCATAAACCTACGAACGGTACCCGAAATATCAACCTAGACATAGGCACGACAAACGGGGTCCGTTGGGACACCACGAGGATCGGGGAAACATCAAACGGGGAAGCCGGGGTCCCGAGGGGGGAAAGATTCCAGCGGGTAGCCGGTGGGTGGGGGGTCCACCCGCCGGCTGCCCGCCGGTAACACTGTTCCGGGCAGCGGGTGCCCGGCGGGCAGCTGTCCGCCCGCCGGCTGCCCGCTGCCGGAGCTGCCCGTGAATGCCGCGGGTAGGTGGCGGGTCCCCTACCCCCACCTACCCCCCACTGACTCTTTTCATCACTTTTCGCCCCGGGAACCGATGTGGAACCCGAAACCATGCTTAGACACTTTACAACGCGATTAACGACAACACATAGACAATTAACGGATCAATTACGAGAAACGAACGACACATAACCTATCATGCTTTTCTAAATATAATCAACACCCAAACATGCGATTTCCCCACCCGATAATTCAAGAATAAGATCATACGATACAACCTAGGGTTCTAATTACTTTTATATCAACCAGAATACGATTCATCTTCTAATTGCAAGATTCGGTAAGAATAACCCATAAACATCAAGGATGCCAATTAATCATCAAGAACATCATAATCATCAAGAACAGCACATCATCATCAAGAATCCCAATTAATCATCAAGAACATCCCAATTATCAAGAAACTCCCAATATCAAGATTATCAAGATTCCCCATGGAATCATTAAATCAATCATTAATAATGATCATCACCAATCATTAATACACAATAATATGGGGAAACCCTAAGGGGAAATCATAGCTATGAAAATAGGTTTTGTTGAGACATGGGTTACCTCTTAGCCTTAATTAATTCCTTGGCTATGAAGGGTCTTTCTTTAAGCTTTCTTGCTTTCTTGATTTCTTCTAAGGGGATTCTTGGAGCACTTTGGGGTGGTGGAACGCTTATTGTGGTGGGGGGTTCTAGGTGTCTCTTAAGTCCCCTATTTATATATTTAGGAGTCCTGGTTAGGAACTAATATTATAGGCTTGCTAATTCTATTCCTTTTGGAACTAAGGATTGGGTTTAGGGATAAGGGTCCATGGTCCATAGTGGGCCATATTAATTAATTAATTAAAGGGAATCCTAATCGTAGTCTGAATAGTAAAAGGCCTACTTCCTTTATTCCTAATAGATAACTAGGTCTAGGATTCCTAATTAGAATCTGAATAGTAAAGGGTTTACTTTCTTTATTCCTAATAGGCTTAGGACTCTAATTTAGGCAAGGGTCCACGGTTCATGGTGGACCGAATTAAATCATATTTAATTATTATTGATGAGATTAATTTAATAATTAATCCGGGATTGAGGGCCGTAACACGGGGTGTTACAAAGACTCTGTGTTTTTATGCATCATATCATGTTGTATATGTGTTTAATTGGCAAAACTCATTTTATGACATATATTTGGCCCAGGAATAAGATATGGAGTGATAAATTGAATTACAATGATAAACTGAATGATAATGAGCTTTTTTTTTTTTTTTCTTTTTTGTTTGTTGTTTGTTTGTTTGTGCAAGCATAAGGCGAGTACCTTATATTGAAAATATGGTGTCGATTTACTAAAGCTTGGATGCTGCATTTGTTGCCAATGTCTCTTTGTCATTGTCTTCAGGTAATGATATGCATTTTATCCTCATAGGATCTTTTTTACTATAAACATGATTATGTAATTATGATCTGTTTATTGATGTTTTGTTGGATTTAATTGTGCATTACTTGCCTTTGGAGCAATCTATTAACTGTACCAGCTGCAGGAAGATCATTGGAGCAGTCTCCTGTCTGTTAAAGATTCTCAACAAGTCAATTCAGTTGCCAATGTGAGTTTCTTGTTTGCCCATTCATTTACCTAACAATTTTCAACATGTTGTGTGTAATGTAAGTTTCATCTCTGTTTTCATAGTTTTTTTGTGTGTTATATTACTGTGATCTTTTTGGTGCCATGTACTATGAACTACTTAAAGCCATGGTGGTGTTTATTAACAGGTTAGGTTATATATTTGTTGTGAGTAAAGAGTATTCCTTTTGAATGATAGTAGTCCTTATTGGGTTGGGACTGGCAATGGTGATGGGCTTAGCTATCTACTTGCTTCTTTGGACAATCGAATACCGCATCACTACTGACGAGACCGAACTAATCAGGTATAACCCTTTCGTTCCTCTTCTGTTTTCTGTGTATTAAATAACATTCGATCAAGAACTTCATTTGGATTGTGTATAGAATCAAGAATGGATGAAAGTTGATTTGTGGTATCTACAATACGTTGTTGGCCTCTGTTCTTGTTACTAGGTTTATTACTTTTGAATTTCTTTTCAGCCATAATATATGCAGTATAGAAACAACTTGAATTATTGAACTAGTTTCAAGGTTGATGACTGATGCAAGTATGTGTGTTTCTAGACTAATCTGAATGTGCACTACGCCATTTATCAATTGAATTTCAACTATAGATTTGACATTCGAGTCTAGGAAGAGTGAAACACCATAGCGATAGGTAAACATAATTTCTTCTACTCTATGAAATGTGATGTTGCACTGTATTGGCTGCATAATTGGATTGCAGTTATAGTTATTCAAATTTCTTTCTCAAAATCAAGTAATATGATGACACTGCTTTTATCCTCGACTTTGGGTTGCTTTTAGGAAACAATATGCTCTTGCTAATATTGGAGGAGTAGATTTGATGAGGAGGCGGGAAAGGAGCTACTTGAGGTGAGTGCACATATTTGTGGCTTATTGTTGTTGTTATTTTTTCTTTTCATTACTATTATCATTATTACTGCTCCACATTATTTTTGGTGACAGATAAGATAGTATGTTGGAGGAAAGTTTGCTTGTAATGAAAGTCATCTCTCATGTGCAGATATTAAATATGCTTTGCTGCTGGGTTGAGGATCCTAATTCAGAGGCCTTCAAATTGCATTTGCCAAGAATCTATGATTATATCTGGGTTGCTGAAGATGGCATGAAAATGCAGGTTGAACAATAGTGTAATTGATCCTGATTTGTTCATATAAGACTAGTATATTTATTGCACTTTCTATCACTTTTTGTTTCCTTAAAACTCTTTCACGAACTTGTTACTTAAGGGATATAATGACAGCCAATCATGGGACACTGCATTTGTTGTCCAAGCAATCATAGAAGAATTATCATCATATCTGGCTAGCAAATTTTGTAGCCGGAGGTGAACGATGTTCGGCCTTCCAGGTTGGTGAAGCAAACCTTTCTTTGATTCTAATTATTATCCATATTTTATATATACTACTGATATTGTGATGAATTGCCATGTAGTTTAGTTCTTAATGTAGTTTCTTGCTCTAGTAATTTGAGTTATTTCTCTTAAAGCACTTGATTATTAGCTAATTTACCTGTAAGTAATCTTATTATTGTTGAATTGTAATATGCTCTTGGGCTTTATGGCTTACTACTCTACCTCTTTTTGGTTTATTGTATACTGAGAGTATATGTATGTCTGTGAATTGTGATTTCTTGCTTTGGTTGATCCCTTATAGAGCTAAGTGCTCAAACACCCCAAGTAGAGGCTTCCTTTGACTCATATGCATATATAACCCACCCAAATCACTCTCAGATAGATTTAATCCTTCTCTGCATATGCATAATTTCTATCATCATGGAAACTTATTGTAACTTTTTATTCTGAATTTCTCTTGTCATTTATTTGCAAGTTGGTGGGGGCTTGTAGAGAAATCCTGGGGCATTTCACAGAAGTATTCCCACGTGCTTCCATTTTACTCGAATTTTGATCAGGTATCGACTATGAAAATAAAGTATTTTATTTGATACATTGCTTATCAAATTTTGATCAGGTATCAGCTCAGTTTATGTCAGCATGCTTCATAGTTTTGAATGTAGCGCTAATTCTAGTGAAATATGAAACTTTGGGATTTTGCATAACAACTCAATAAATGCATGGGATGGTCTTGTTAAGTTGCACCATTCTGTTATGCAAAAGAAGCTGCAATTGCAGAAGGAGAAGATAGGAGATGATGAAACTCACTTATGTACTTCATTCTCAACTTTGTAATTAGCACTATTGTGATAATAATGCATACTGTATTGATCTTTATAAAATTTTCTGAGCCATTTGTGGTTAATGATTGTTCAGATCAAACTTCTAGCAACAATATATATATATATATATATATATATATATATATATATATATATATATATATATATATATTCATTTCTCTACAGAGGGGTTTTCTCTTTTTTATATCGTGCACATTTTCCGACCACCACAAGTGGTCGGAAATGTTCGATGTTCTTAGCCTCTACTTTTCCGACCACTGCCAGTGGTCGGAAAATCAGGGACCCGCCTGACTATTCTCTTGGGCATTTTTTCCGATGGTCTTAGAAAAGTGGTCGCTATTTCAGACCTCTTATCCGGTTGTTGGAATTAACGAGAGTGATTTTTCCGAAAACCTAAATTGGTCGGAAAAGAGGTCGGAACAGGTATTTCCGACCTAATTAAGGCCATTTCCGACCACTTTCAGGTGGTCGGAAATTGACAGATTTTCAACAGTGTAAGAAAATAGCTTATTTAGTCATTAAGTGGGAAAATATTGAAGAGGAAATCAAATTTAGGAGACGAATTGAAGAAATTATTAATGTAATTTACAATTTTTAAATTTTTACAAATTTGATCATTTACTTTCTAATTTTTCCTTCATTCTTAATCAAATATTATTGTCACAAAATGAGAGAAATGTTTTGAACATTTTTTCCATGGTGCAAGGGGAAAGAAAATTGTCACAAGAATTACAAGAAAACGACCCCCAACCACATCAATCAATAGAAGTTGTCAGGCAAATTATATCGTGCACCGCGGTGCATAATCGATTATGCACCGCACATCAAAACGATGTCATTTTATTTAATGAAAAGAAACAGAATCTATTTCGTGTCGTTCCGCAAAAAATAACTCTGTTCTTTAGTTTCATTTTGTATACACTGCAGTTTCAATTCAACACAATTATAGTTTCATTTTGTATGCACTGCAGTTTCAATTCAACACAACTACAGTTTCATTTCGATATAACTACAGTTCCATTCAATATTTATACACTCAAATATGTGGAAATGTTATTTAATTTTATTTTATATACACTATAGTTTCATTAAAACACAACTACATGATCATTTTAATATAATTACAGCTTCATTGTACAATATACACTCAAATATGTGAAATGTTATTCAGTTTCATTTCACCACAACTACAGCATCATTTTATATAACTGCAGTTTCATTTGATAATATAAAAATAATACGTGAGGCAGTGTCGGTTTAGATACACTGTAGTGTCACTCCGTTAACACTAACAGCGCGTCGTTTCTTTACTTAAAGAAACGATGCCATTTTGATGCGCTGTGCATAATCGATTATGCATCGCGGTCCACGATATAACGACTGAAGTGGTCACACGCCAACAAGGGAACAATGAACACCTCTAGCCCAAGTTGAGAAGAGAATAACAACAACCGTTATACCATGCACCAGGATGCACATAGCAATGTGTGCTCCGCGCCTCTCATAATTACGTCGTTTTGTTAAGTTGTGTGGAGAATTAACGCGACAAAAATGTATGTGTATTCAGTTATAAAATTATGTGTTTTCAGATATAAAATTCTGTGTTTTTAGGTATAAAATTTTGTACATTCGAAACAGAGGATTTTTATCATTTTAAAAAAGATTATGTGTTTTCAGGTATAAAATTCTCTGTTTTCAGGTATAAATTTCTGTGTTTTCTATTATATAATTCTGTACCTCCGAAACACGGGATCGGAATTTTCAGTTACAAATTCTGTGTTTTCAAGTATAAAATTATGTGTTTTCTATTATATAATTCAGTACATTCAAAACATGGAAATTTTTAGTTATAAAAATTCTGTGTTATCAGGTATAAAATTTTGTGTTTTCAAGTATAAAAATTATGTGTTTTCTATTATACAATTCTGTACATCAAAACATGAATTTTTTTTATTTGTTTTAAGGAGTTAACAGCAGACACGCAAAAATGATACAAAACGACATCGTTTTGAACCAAGACGCACAATGTATTGTACGCCATGGTGCACGGTATAATTTGCCAAATAACAACACCTTCCAATCCACGCACAAAATTAAAGTTTATAAAATGTAAAACTTTTGAATTAAATCTAAAAGCATCATTATTATAATTAAAAATAGTGCTGTAAAAATCGGCCTAGGTGGCCGGCCATCTAGGCGCCCCTATGTCGAGGCGATTTCAGCCCTAGACGGATTTTAGTCGGTCGATCGACTAACCAGCTGACGAGGCATCCTAGGCCCCTGAGTTAGGCACCTAACTCGATCGAGTTGGGCTCCTAACTATGTCGAGTGGGGCGCTCAAATCGGTCGAGTGATTTTTTTTGCCTGCTCGGCTATTCTTCTAGCTATGTACTCAATTAATCATCTAACATATGCAGTTGACTAGTATGAGATTATAATAATCTAACAACTCTTAGCCCTGAGTAGGAAAAGTGGAGACGATATACTCGGATTACTCGGCCATCTAAGTGCACAAACTTATTGTCAAAGATTAACTTATCTAATGAATAGTGTCATGTAAGAATGAAAGATTAGGTAAAAAAAAAAAAATTGGAGTGATAGATAGTGCGTCCGACCCGCACCTAGCACCTTCTACAACATTAGTTAAAAGACAACATTAGTTAAAAGAAATCAAAAGTTTTATGGATTGCACGTCCATAGTAATAACAATTTGTCTTATAAAATTTTAGAGAAAAAAAATAAAAATAAAACAAACAGAGAAACTAAAAAAAAAAAGAAAAGAAAAAAATCAAATACGAATAAAAAATGAAGAAAAAAAAAAAGAAAAGAAAAAGGGGTCGAATAGATGAAAAAGAGAATCATCAATCATCAATCATAGACTTAATAATTTTACTGTTTTCATTTTAAAACTACAATATCATCAATTCCATTTTCTTAATTTTTCTTTTCAATTTTAATTTTTTTAATTTTATAATTTAGATGTTTGTTGTTTGCTAAACGAGTAATGTTATCTATCACTCCAATTTTTTTATTTTTTACTTTTTTTTTTTACCTAATCTTTCATTCTTACATGACACTATTTCATTAGATAAGTTAATCTTTGACAATAAGTTTGTGGGTCAATCAATTAATGACACCCAATAGTATTAAGTTATGCATGAAGAAAATTTAAGAGGTGAAAGTTAGGGGTGTGCAAATTTCGAAGAAATTTTGGTTAACCGACCGAATTGACAGAATTCGGTTAACCGTTTTTTAACTGAAATATTTCGGTTCAGAGAATGGTTAAAGATTTTTCCCAAAATTCGGTTAACGGTTAATTCGGTTCGAAAGTGTCGGTTAACCGAATTAACTGAATGGTTAACCGAATTTTGGAATATATATATATATATATATATATATATATATATATATATATATATATATATATATATATATATATGTTAAGCCAATATGTGGCTAGTATTCTTTAGTTGTTATTTATCCTATTTGTACTCCTATAGACTAGTTGTGTTTGGTTGTAACTTGTTGCTATCTTCACTCCTCTATGTACTATATATAGGTTGTGTTTTACATCAATAAATACAACCATTCATAATCTTTACATGGTAATCAGAGCCTAAAATCTCCTACGAAAGAATTTTTTTTTTTCCTTGCTTCCTGCCTATTCAATGGCGTCCACCACCCAAACTACTCCGGCAACCACTGAAGTCGTCCAGCTTCACGCTACTACACACTTCCCTATCAAACTCACACCTACGAATTTCCCAGTCTGGAGGCGCCTGGTTCACTCTACACTCATTGGCCTCAACCTCCATGGCTATGTTGATGGTTCTGTCCAAGAACCGCCTAAGTTTTCTGGTTCGGTTCCAACAGCCACAAACCCAGATTATTTACATTGGGTCCGTCAAGACCAAGTCATCGTCAGTGCACTCTTAGAGAGTTGTTCTGACTCGATTCGACCTCTCGTGTCTTCGGCTTTGACAGCCTATGATGTTTGGCAACGCCTAGCCACTACTTACGCTAGTGCGTCTCAAAGCCGAGCTCGTATACTTTCCCTCAAAATCGAGCTCACTCAAAATCCGAGAGGTACTCGGTCGATTTCTGTATTTTTGAATGACATGCGATCCATCGCTGATGCACTCGCGTTGGCGCAGTCCCCGGTCTCTGATGAAGACCTTGTCATGTACATTCTAACGCAGCTCGGGGATGAATATCATTCAATCTTCTCCGCTGTTTGCGTCCGACAGAAGCCTATTTCCTTAGCGGAACTAGCCGATGTTCTCATTGATCATGAACGTCAGTTACAAGCCGGTGACCGAGCACGCCAAACCGTGCTGGCTACTGCCAATATCACTCCTACTACTGCTCCTTTGCGGTCATTCTCCGAGTACAATGGTCCGAACCAAATACGCTTGGGTGACGGTAACTCTTTACACACATCTCACATTGGTCATGCCACAATTCCCACCCCTTCTTCTGCCCTTAGTCTAGAAAATGTCTTGCACGCTCCACAGCTACACAAAAGTTTAGTTTCTATTTCGCAACTTTGCAAAGCTAACCGTGTGTCTGTTGAGCTCTTTGCGTCTCATTTTGTCGTGAAGGGTCTTCAAACCGGGATGGCATTGTTACGGGGGCCGAACGTTAATGGTGTGTACTACAATACTCTCTCTTATGAGCCTCAAATGAATGCCACGCACCTGCCATTTGTGTCTGAATGGCACCACCGGTTGGGATATCCGTCAAATACGGTGTTACAACTCGTGTTGCAACAGTGCACAGTTCCAGTTTCTGCTGCCTCTCTACGTCAGTTTCGTTGTTGGTCTTGCAGTGTACACCAGAGTCACAAATTGTCGTTTTCGAAGAGCACTCTCGTTAGCACAAAACCCTTACAGTTACTTTACACTGATGTATGGGGAACGACAGACAAGTCAGTTGGTGGTTTTCTTTATTACGTTGTCTTTGTTCATCACTTTTCTAAATATGTCTGGTTGTATCCCTCAAAGCACAATTCAGATGTTTTTACCATTTTTCCTCAGTTCAAAAGGTTAGTCGAGACAGGTAATCAATCCCCTACTTACACTCAAATACAATCGTTTGGCTGCTTATATCTTCCGTAGTTGAGACCGTATAACACCAAGAAATTAGAGCCGAAGTCTCGGCCTTGTGTTTTCCTTGGGTATTCCAACACACAATCAGGTTATAAATGTTGGGACCCCATTCCGACTCCTACTCTGCCTTCCGTGTCTTCCCCGGCTGGGTCTCTCTCTAGCGTAGCCGACTACCCGCAACCTGCACCAGTGGATGTTCAAACTCATGTTCCAACACAATCCGGCGAGAATAGTTTGGACATCCCCACTGGTTTACCTTCAGCTGCGTCTAGTTTGTCACCCCCTGGTTGTTCGTATTCCGCTGTTCCAGAACATAGTCGTCACACCAACCAGTCTGGATCCTTGCATGTCACCACCTCCGAAGGTTCCCAAACGCAAAATGATTTACGCCGGACTACCCGAGAGCGTCGTCCCAATCCCAGGCCGCTTACGGATCATCACTGGCAGGCTGCAAAATGGCTTCTTCGCTATCTCAAAGGTACGGTTTGCCATGGCCTATTTCTACGGGCGGGTCAGCCGTTGTCTCTACGAGTGTTCACTGACTCTGATTGGGGAGGTTGCCCCACCGATGGCCGTTCTACCACCGGATATTTGGTGTATCTGGGCGACAATCGCATTTCCTGGAAGTCCACGAGACACAAATCCGTTTCGTTAAGCCTTCGGTCCAAGATTGGAGTCTCCGACGGATCCTCCATCTTGCGGGGGCGTGTTAAGCCAATATGTGGCTAGTATTCTTTAGTTGTTATTTATCCTATTTGTACTCCTATAGACTAGTTGTGTTTGGTTGTAACTTGTTGCTATCTTCACTCCTCTATGTACTATATATAGGTTGTGCTTTACATCAATAAATACAACCATTCATAATCTTTACAATATATATATATATATATATATATATATATATATATATATATATATATATATATATATATATATATATACATATATATATATACATATATATATATATATATATATATATATATATATATATATATATATATATATTAAATATTAAATATAAATATATAATATGTACTAATATCCCAAATAGTCAAATGGATTATGGACTTATGGTATTGTTTTTGTATGTTTTGATATGAATTTATTATGATATGTATTTTATTTTAATTGAATTTATTATTTTAGGAGTTATTTTTAGAATTTTCAATTTTAGGGTTAAAAATTTAGGTTAATCGGTTAACCGAAAAAAAGTTCGATTCGGTTAATTCGGTAGAGCAAACTTCAGTTCGATTAACGATTAACGCAAAAAAAAATTCGATTAATTCGGTTCGGTTAACTGAATGAACACTCCTACTGAAAGTCTAAGTAGGATTCTTTGCTAAACAGTTTTTTATTTCTTAGGGTCTTTTTTGAAATTTGGAATATTTTTTTTTAGGAAATAAATTTTTAAAAATAACTCAATTTCTGTAAAATATTTTAATTTTTTAGTGTTTGGTTGGAGGTTAAAAAACTCTCTTTTTCTTTTAGATTTATTTTACTATGAAAATAGACCTATTATTTGTAATAATAATAATAATAATAATAATAATAATAATAATATAAGTGGTGATGTTGATGGTGGGGGTGATGCTGATGTAGGTGATATGGTGAAATTCTTTTTAATTATTATTATAATATTATAATAAATAATAATAATTAAAAAATTTAATTTAAATTTTAAATTTTGAAAATTTCTTTGAAATTATCAAGCCGTAAGACTAACGGCTCAAGTATTTAAAACAAACAATTCAATTATATTCAAATATGCGAATACCAGTATACATTTATACCAATCTCACCCTTTCTCTCTGCTTTCTTCTCCCTCTCTGTCTGTCTGGAGACGAATAGAGCATTTTAAAGGTAAGATCAATTTCCCCTCTCCGACCATTTTTATGTTTTCTTCCTTTCTTATAATATTTTCAGGCACTTTCTATTGCAAACAATTGCTTTTTACTTCTTCAGTTGTTATATAAAACACAACGAGAGATTTATGCGGTTGAAATACCCAATTTCTCAGAAGACAATTGTTTTGGCTAACCTGAAGAATGTGTTGGCCGCTTATTGTTCGTCGTCCCAGTCACTTCTTAGATTTCGAGATGAAATTGCCTGAAGAAACGGCCCTATTCTTTGTCAGGAGTATCAAGATCATATGTGGTCAGAGGGAAGAAATTTTCGGATAATTCGAAATCTGACTCTTGTTTTTTCGGGTAATGCTTTAATGTGTTTTCGTTTTGCATTCTTGGGATGTGAATTTTTCTTCTTAGGGATTTATGACTTTTAAAATTTTAAATTTTCATCTCTTTTGTATAAGAAACTTGAAATTTTCCCATTGATCACTGAATTTATCTTGAGTAAACAAGAGTTCCCATTATTGTTTTTGATATCAAGTTTGATTTTTTTTTTTTTAATTGAAAAAGGTTAAGGATTTACAAGAATGCTTTATGTTAACAATTAATCTTCTATTAAATCCAGTTCCGTCTAGGAAAATTTCCTTATGCTCAATTGGCAGTTGGAGGAAATACAAAATATATTGCTTCACACATAAGATATCATTATTGTCATAGGAAAAGATTTATGCCGGTTAATGATGCATTACTGTCTAATAAATGTATAAAACAAATATTAACTTCAAATGTTTTTGCCCCGTAGATGCCTTACTGTCTAATAAATGTATAAAACAAATATTAACTTCAAATGTTTTTGCTCCGTAGATGCCTTAATCCTCATGGTCATCTTACATAAGAAGAATTTCAGATTTTCTTTACTGCTGAAGAAAATGGCTTTATAGCTTACCTAGAAATATTTTAATCTTTACTTCAGAATTAGTGACATACCTAGGAACTTTATAGTTTATCACCTTGGGTGTCAATGTGTCATAACTGTTGACACTGAAATTGAATGAGTGCAGGTTTTGGACATGCATTTGTCGGATATTGAAGTTGTCTTGATCCTTCTATGACACCAAAGATGAGGATATCGACTCAGGTTTAGTTTGCTCTATTATGTGTGGAGTTACATTGCTATAACATATTTTTGACAAGATGTTTGACTTGGTAAGTTTGATACTTTTGTTATTTTGTTGATTTAATTTCTCACTAGGAGTGATAACAATGTATCCTTTTGATAATCCATTTATAGAGCAGATGATTTGGAACTAGCTAAAACATTGAAGCCAAATGACTTGGCTTCAATAGTATGTGTTAATTCAAATACTTGTATTTTGCTATTCATTTCTAATGTATGGATGGAAGAAAATGCCACCGGATTTAATATAGGCTCCTTGTGCTTTATTCTTTTTGAGTTCAGAACTATAGCTAAAACCTAAAATATGAATTTTGGTCATAAACCATACTTGAGGTCTGGAACATTGACGAAAAGTAGGAAATATAAATGAAATGTATGAAACTTTGAAATACTTGCACAGTAAATCTTCTTTAGGAACCAGTATTTTTATGTCCCCAAGTTATTGAAACTCCCAAATAAATGTGCCCTGAACTTTGGATACTCCTTGTGGTATCAAATCAGATATCTGGTGTCTTGGTAGCTTTTCAAATTAATCTATGCTAAAGATACAATGATTTGTGAAAGTGAAGAGTTATATTTGGCTATTTCAGAAACAGATAAAGAATTTTGAGGAGTTTATGAATTGTTTGGGCTAGGGACAAATGTTTGAGGTTTCTTTGCATTTGGATTTCTTCTCTACATTAATTGTCACTTGCTAAGTGCTATCATAAATATTAGTTATTAATTTCAGTTTTAATATTGGATGCTCTGTGCCTGCACTTCTTCAGATGTCATAGCCTCATAGGGTAGGCATATGTATACTTTAATATGCGACGTATGTGTGCTTGTACAGTGTATAAGTTATTTGTGACATTGATTGAATGTGTTCACTTATGCCTACTAATTATTTGTCTTCCAAATTGAATTTAGAGATAATACGACTAATCCTTTACTGACTGCAACAATCTATGATGCAAATCTACTCTCCATGCAATCTATGATCCCATGATTCCCATCAACAAGTTGTGATGCATATGTTAGTTTCATCAAAGAACATGCTTTTGCAAACCCGTAAAGATGCTACTCAAGTAGTCACAAATTTGCAGTCATGGCTGGTTACAAGCCATTACTTGATGGTCAATGGTGAATGGTGATACTTCTCTATGCATTTATTATAGTGCTGTGGGGCTATTTTGTAAGTAGTCACATATTTGTATGGTTTAAGCTTATAATCTCAGAAAATGTCTTTGTTGTGTTCCGTTTAATATTTAGAAAAATATGCTAAATGATACATAAGAGCATAATGCTGTAATGGTTTTTGCCTTGTTGGTTTTTTTTTTTTTTTTTTTTTTAAATTTATTTATTGCCCTTACTGGTTGGTACTAGCATTGCATATGTGATATTTTGTAGTATTAGATTTTGAAATAGGTGCATCCGACTGTAATGAAACTTGTCAGCAACTTTGCATAGGAAAAAAAAAAAAATCTAATTTTTGATATAATTTAGTAAATAAATTAATTGAAGAATTTCAGTTATATTCTTTACTATAAAAATTGTATTTAATTGTTGAGAACAATTTGTTCTGGAATTCTTGTGATGGAAGTAAATGCTCTGAATAATATATTTTTTTATCTTCTAGAAATTTGTAGCTAAAAGTTCAAACTAGGGTGCCAATGCTATTCCACCATATGAGGAAGTTAATTCTTCAACTGGAATCTAATTTGAGTTAGAATTTAAAATATTAATACTGGAGCATCTGCTATGTATGTTTGTGCCAAGGTTGTGTTAGTATTGTGATTGCAGTTTATTTCAACTTGCTTCATTTTTGGGTTCTATTGCTTACAACTTCTGAAATGCATTTATATCTTCTATATGTTGAAATCAATATACTTATTAGAACCAGAAATGCAATAGTTTGGTAAGTATTTTTCCATCTGAAGACAAAAGTACTTCAATTCTAATGTTATTAGTAATGTTATTAGTTTACATGTTCTTGGGTCTAATATGATATTGGGTAGTTTTGCATATGCTGTTACTTATCATTAGTTTGTTTTTGTGATGGATGCTTAGATTTCTATATATGTTGAACATGCAGTTCCAGCTAATTTGTAGAGAATAGAGGTAAACCTCAAAATAATGATAACTCATAAACCAATAGTGTCAGGGTAAAAAAAATGGTTCACATGCAGAAAATTAAAAGCAATAACTCTTTCTATGTTGCATTGCTTGTGTAGTTTGAGAAGTTGTAATTGGAATGCAGTCTTATATTCTTGGGACCATTGTTGATAGCTTTATGTCTTTATGCATAGCTTTTATGGTTTGAATCAGTTGCAGTATAAAGTTCCATCAAAATAATTCTACCTGTACTATAAACCAGTGTTTTAAGTATTTGCTATTGTGAAGATAAATTACTTCTAATGTTATTAGTTTATATGTTCTTGGGGCTAATATGATATTTGGTGGTTTTGCACATGCTGATACTTCAGTTCTCATTAGTTTGTTTTTGTGACGGATGCTTAGACTTCTCTTTTTTTGTTTTTTTTTTGTTTTTGTTTTTTGTTTTGGACGAGGAGGAAAACCTGCAACCACACTCAAAGGTGTGCACTGGGTAAACTCCGCCTTGTGACCCTAGCTGGCAAAGGACCGTAGGGAGGTAAACAAGCCTAAGTTGCCTATAGTTGACCAACTCAAACCGAGAAAGCAAATACATCCAGCTCCAGATATTTTGTACAAAGGTAAACATCAAAATAATGCTCACTCATAAACCAATAGTGTCATAAAAAAGAAATGGTTCACATGCAGAAAATTAAAAGTAATATAACTCTTTCTATGTTGCATTGCTTGAGTTTCAATTAAGGAGTAGTTTGAGAAGTTGTAATTGAAATGCATTGTATTCTTGGGACCATTGTTGATAGCTTATGGTTTGAATCACTTGCATTATAAAGTTCCATCAAAATAATTCTAGCTATAAACAAATGGTTTAAGAACAGAAATGGGTCACTTGCAGAAAATTAAAAGCAGTATAATTCATTTATTTTCATTTACTATTCATGCCATTTAGTTCTCTGTTCTAGCATTATGCTTATAAGATGCTACTTAAGTAGTCACAAATTTGCAGTCACGGCTGGTTATGAGTCATTACTTGATGGTCAATGGTGATACTTCTCTCACTCTATGCATTTATTATAGTGTTGTTGTGAGGCTATTTAGTAAGTAGACACGTATTTGTATGGTTAAGCTTATAATCTCAGAAAATCTCAGAAGCTAAGGTTGATGATTTGCAGAAATTGAATGCATCATTGTGAACTCCTACTGCCTACTGTGAAAGTGTGAAGGGTTTCATCTATTTCTCTACGTAGAACTGTACAGATTACAATAATTTATACTGAAAACTAGCTATAACCTAATGGGCCTACTGTAACGGGCCTAGGGTTTCAACACTCCCCCTCAAGCTGGAGAGTATAGATCATAAGCTCCCAACTTGTTACAAATATATTCAACTCTAGGAGCTCTAAGGGATTTCGTCAAGATATCAGCTAACTGATCTGTAGAATTAACAAAGCTAGTTTTAATACACCCTGACACAATCTTCTCTCTAATGAAGTGACAGTCAACCTCAATGTGTTTAGTCCTCTCATGATAAACAGGATTTGACGCGATGTGTAGAGCTGCTTGATTGTCACATATCAACGTCATTTGGGCAACATTGCCACATATCAACGTCATTTGGGCAACATTGCCACATTGCAATTCTTGTAGTAGGTGTTTAAGCCACATAAGCTCACATGTGGCAAGCGCCATGGCTCGATATTCTGCTTCAGCACTGGACCTAGCAACCACATCCTGCTTCTTACTTTTCCAAGATATGAGATTACCTCCAATGAGAATACAATAACCTGAAGTAGAGCGTCTGTCAAACGGGCAACCAGCCCAATCTGCATCACAATATCCAACAACTTGTGAATGTCCTCTATCTTCGTATACTAAGCCTTGTCCTGGTGCTCTCTTGATACACCTTAGAACACGAACAGCAGCATCCCAATGAGAATCACAAGGTGTCTCAAGAAACTGACTCAACACACTAACTGCGAAGGAGATATCCGGTCGTGTGATCGTGAGATAATTCAGTTTTCCAATCAATCTCCTATATCGCTCTCGGTCAGGCAATGGCTCCTCCTGTCCTGGTAGGAGTTTAACATTCGGATCCATTGGATTATCAATCGGTCTACTGTCCAGCATGCCAGTTTCTTCTAAGATATCCAAGGCATACTTCCTTTGAGAAATAACAACACCACTGCTAGATTGAGCCACTTCAATTCCAAGAAAGTATTTTAGCTTACCCAAATCCTTAGTCTGGAACCGACTAAAGAGATACTCCTTCAACTGAAATATGCCCTCTTGATCACTCCCTGTAATAACAATGTCATCCACATATACTACAAGGTATATGCATTTCTCATTAGAATGACGATAGAAAACAGAATGATCAACTGCACTTCTTGTCATACCAAACTCACACACCACAGAACTAAACCTTCCAAACCAAGCTCGTGGAGATTGCTTTAAACCATATAAAGAACGGCGAAGTTTACATACCATACCAGACTCCCCCTGAGCAACAAACCCAGGTGGTTGCTCCATATAAACCTCCTCGTGAAGATCACCATGAAGAAAGGCATTCTTGATATCCAGCTGGTGTAAGTCCCAATGATGAATGGCTGCCAAAGACAAAAGTAAACGAACTGAAGCAATTTTAGCAACCGGGGAAAAAGTATCAGTATAATCCAAACCAAAAATCTGAGTATAGCCTTTTGCCACCAGACGAGCCTTAAGACGATCAATTGCACCATCAGGGCCCACTTTCACCGTATAAATCCATCTACAACCAACCACAGTTTTACCAGGAGGAAGAGGAACCAACTCCCACGTGCCACTAGACTGGAGGGCCTCCATTTCTGTTAACATGGCTTGACGCCAACCTGGATCCGAGAGAGCCTCACGAGTGGATTTGGGTATAGACACAGAAGATAGGTGAGAAAGAAATGCAAAGTAAGGGGACGAGACACGGTGATAACTCAGAAAGGTATATATAGGATGGGGGTTACGAGTAGAACGTGTACCTTTTCGAACAGCAATAGGTGCCTCAGTGAGATCAGTGTCAGATTGCAGTGGAAGTGGTGGAACCGCAGCCGGAGGATCGGACAGTACTGGCAAGTCACTAGGGACCTCAGGAACTGCAG